ATAACTGTGAGACATAACATAGGTATAAAAAATAACAAATAAGCAATATAATTACATTAATAATCACAATGTCCTGAACACAAAATATTTATTTATATACACATTCAATGTATTATATTCATAACCATAAATGTAAGTAATTACACAATTTTACTGTCTTTCAGGAGATTTGAGCCGCCATGGAAAGGGTCCTGCCTACCAAAATCTGTCAAAGAAATTTGAGATGCTGTCAGCTGGACACACAGGTCTGTGCTTCAGTGCTTTAAATCTGTTCTTTAAAACTTTATGTGTATGTTTTACACATTGTGAGAATTTATTTTATTTGATTTCTTTTAGAATTATACCAGTGACAATAAAACACAAGGCATCATGGAGAAAAGCCAGTGGGACCTGAAGCGTGTGCGCTTTCAAAGACGTCGGTTCACAAGGCTGGACGATTTTGTCCATATTTATCAAAAAACACATAGTGCCTTGCTGAAGGAGTTTTCAGATTCTATCCGGGAAAAAAAAGTATTAATTTCTCTTGTAAATACTATGATTGCCTTGAAATATCATTTCATAAAAAATTACATAATCATGTATTCAATAGTGTCTCTAAACATACTTTTCTCTGTAGAGACACAAGGTGGACGTCGAGCGCTGGAGACAAAGAAGGCAGTCCAGGAAAGGCATTTATGTATCACCATTACTAAAGGCTTTTCCTTTCAAGAAAACCAAAAAAGTAGGATGATGTTAATATTTTGTATACCTCAGTATTTTGATACAGTCCATACCACAGAACAGCAATCCTTATGATATGCGTAATGTACTTTTTTTTTTATGCAGCCCAGACTGCTGACAAAGACAACTGGATCATGGGCAACAAACAAAGAAGAAATTTGTGAGCAAAACTTGGTAAGAACCATACACTATCATAGAACAAAAAATATTTGTGTATGAATTCGACCAGTTATTTGTTCATTCTACAAATGACAGTGGTGGTGACAGTGAAAGCCTTTTATGTGTTCTGAGTTGCATTAATTTGTGCTGAAATGCAAAAACTATTATCATACTCCATTTTACAATTATGTATACTGTAGTATAATTCAATATAACAACTTTCATTTACACATAATTATTCCTTTTTGTGAGTCGCATATCATAATTCATGGATTTAGTCTTTTGACTAAAATGCCATATAGTTTTAGTCATATTATAGTCATTTAAATTGTTTTAGTCGACTAAAAATACAGCTGATTTATTCAACTAAAATCTACTGAGTTCGGTTAAACTGTAATACATTAAGCATTTAAGAATCACACAACTGTTGCTTGAATACTGTACATGACTAAACTGACATTTTTACAGAATTGTGTGTGCTTTTTGACAATTCAAATGCAAAAAGACACAAAATAGAGCTCAATTCTGTGCTCATCAGGGCCTAACGCATACTTTTATGGTTCTAGTGAACTATAATAATCCTGAGAGTAAAATCTATTTATTGAATAATATGTCAAATAATGTCCTTTGTCTCATTTTTAATTGTCGACAAAAATGGCATCGATGTAGATTACTACAGAACTACACAAATGTGTTGTTCACAAGCAAGTGTTCCTTTTTTAAATTTTTTTATTTTTATTTTTTTACCAGTAAGATACAATTCACGTTTCAAAATGCAGGTGAACTCTTTAATGTCAATCATCCACCCAATTCATGTTTCGTCACATATATTTTTTTATTCAATATATTCAGACTTTCATTGCATATACTGTATTAAAACTTCCATTCAATATATTCAAATTTTCATTCATCATATTCAAGTTTCATTCCATATATTCAAACTTCCATTCAATATATTCAAACTTTCATTCAATATATTCAAACTTTTACTACTACATTACTACAGAATACTTATTTTGATTTCAAAGATGTATGTACAAAGAAGATGTAACACAATAAGTATTTTTATTATTAACAAAAGTGTTAACTAATACATCCTGCTTCATATCCTTAATTTCTGCCTGTTCTTGTAGTCATCAAAAGCTTCTACTGGGCAGCCCAAGTCCAAAGAAAAACAAGAGGGTAATGGCAAAAGTGTTAACTAATACATCCTGCTTCATATCCTTAATTTCTGCCTGTTCTTGTAGTCATCAAAAGCTTCTACTGGGCAGCCCAAGTCCAAAGAAAAACAAGAGGGTAATGGCAAAGTAGAGTATAACACTTCACAGGTAAGACTAGGTGAAGCTGAGGCAAATTTAAGGGTATGATAACATTACAGTACACACAGACTCCTACATTACTCATTTGTCACAATGACATGTAAATGTTGATTCCCTGTTTGTCCTTTTAGCCATCAAAAGGTTCAGTTGGACAGCCCAAGTCCAGAAAA